GCAAAGATTGCATTTGCATTTACAGACTTTTCCCATAGTCTTTACTGTGTCCTAATTCATTGATTTGAGTTTCAGGTTAAACTGGATATTCCTCTTAGCACTGTATTACTTAATGGAAACTTTCAAAACTAGACATAAATTTTGTGTAATTGCCTTTCTTGAATGAATTTATGCCTAATGTTTGTTTTGTTCTTCTAAGCCCTTTAAGTATGTATTGTATGATTTTAAATACCAATAACACTATCTTAAATTTCAGTCAAATGAAGTCACCATTTCAATGTAGAAGAAATAAAAAACACATATAAGTTAATTCTGTACATGGAGCGAGAGCTATTATTTATCTCTTTAAGACAGAGATGGTTTATATACATTTTTTACCATTCTATTTTAAATTGTGTGACCCAAAGAACTCTCAATATTTGAAATAAAGTTTAAAAATTTTTGCAAAGAAACTTTTAAAATATCATTAAAAATAATTTAATGTACATCAGCATAAAAATACTGCTGTATTTACTTCAACCTTTTTTATTTTTTAGGTATTCTGTTTACATGTTTCTGTGTTACCGCTAAGAGAACAGTAAAGAAATGTTTTCCAGAAGATGTAGCCCAGCAAAATTTAATTGTATCAAACACTGAAGGACCCGGAGAAGAAGTGATGGTAAATCAGATTTCACTTCCCTTTCAATTGTGTGGTGAACCAATGATGACAGTTCAATTATTCCATAATAATAGCAATAATAATAACAGCTGATGTTTACTGAGCACTTACTATGCCAAGCAGAATTTCCAATAGCCCTGATGTTTTAAATCATTTAAACATCACAATTCTATTGTAGAGCTAGGGCTGCCATAACCATGCTCCTTCTAAAGGAATTAGGGTAGGATCTGTACCAGAACTCTCTCCTAGCTTTTGGTGGTGCCTTGGCTTATGGCAGCATAAATCAGATCATCACATGCATTCTCCCTGTGTGCATGTCTGTGTCCAAATTTCCCTTTTTATAAGGACACTGATTATATTAAATTAGGGACCCACCCTAACCCAGTATGACCTCATCTTAACTGATTACATCTACAATGACCCTAATTCCAAATAAGGTCACATTCTGTGGTCCTAGGGGTTAGGACTTCAACATAGGAGTTTTTAGGGGACACAATTGAACCCATAACACCTATGATGCTATTATTCTGATTTTATATATAGGCAACTGAGAGGCATGGCAGATAAGTGATTTGCCTAGGGTGGGAAAAAAAATGAAAGCAAATTATTAGTTTCAATTTTATTTATTCATTTTGTAATTCCAACTTCACTTTTAGGAAGCAAATATTAGACTCCCCATGCAGACGTCTAACATTTGTGATACAAGCATGTCTGTCGGTACTCTTGGTGGCCAGGGAATCAAAACACAGCAAAGTTTTGAGATGGTCAAAGGAGGTGGACATCAGACCTTGGAGTCCGTCAAGGGAGCAGGGCAGGGAGTAACGGAAGCTGGCAGATTCGCATACACGGACTGGCAGAGTTTCACTCAGCCTCGGCTTGGCGAAGTAAGTTCCATCGTCTTCAAACTCACATTACGTGAAAGTTAAATGCTAGTTATAAATCAGGATTTCCCAAAAGTTTTACTCTTCATACACCTGGAACTCATCATATTTTTAAATGTTGAATTATCATAGATATGGATGTCAGGTCTAAATTCAAAGAGGAAAATGATCTGTTCAAGTTCCACTTTTAAAATATGGTTTACAAAACTTTATCTAGGAATGGCATATATAGATGTATTTAGAAAAGTTAAAAGACTGATAGCTTCTTCCCTAAAAATTACCAGGGAAACTATCTCGAGTGAAATATTTATTATAAAGGAATGAATGGATCATAACTTATAAACATTTCTGGAACCTGTAGATCTAGATGGGCCTGAAAATGGCCCACCTTTTCAATTCCTTCTGGATAATTCTGCCAGGAAACTATGGACTCTAGAAGAAAAGGACGGTATGTAATTATGCTAAATCTTGTAATCAGTAGGGAATCAAGATGGTTTATCATCTTAACTTTCACTTTAGTTTATCATAATAAATACATATTCATTTTAGGAAACTATTAACCCTAATAAAAGGATAATCAGTTGCTTTTAAAAAATTAATATGGTTATGTTAAGCTTAGACTCTTGTTCTGAATATCTTTTAAGAAAACATAAGCCCATTTTAAGTTAATCCTTGAGTAACATCTAATATGAGCATACAGCATTATCAATTATTTTCCAGGTTTTCTGAGAAATCAAAATTATTTTTAAGAAAGAAATATGAGCCATTAGAATATTCTAAATTAATTTTTCCCAGAAGAATAGCAAGTAGGAATAATATTGCTGTTGAAAGATCATAACAATATATATTCTCTCTCTTTTTTCCTCCCAGGTAAAACTGCTTGTCATGTGGAAGTGGTAAACATTTTATGTGTATAGCCCACAAAGAACATCAAAAAATTGTAAGAAATTATTAGGAAGTATACTGTAGCTTAATAAGAAAGAATCTAAAAACATTCTAACAATTATTTTGAAAACCTCATATACATGGAGTGGGCTGATTTATAATGCAATGAGATTCCAGTTACTGAAAACAGGGAAGTGGAGAAATAAATTATCTGAGAAATGTAGTTAATTTGCCACTATTCTATAATCTTGGATGTGTATAGCTCTTCAGAGTACCCACTGTTGAAGTGTTATGAGGTTTTTAGTTAACCCAAGATGTCCTTTCCAGCTTTGTGATTTTGATATTCCTTACTCATTGATCCTTTACATTTGCTTATATGCTTAAAGTAGGGTTTAGAAGTAGGCACACATACCCAATGACCTTTTCACAATGTTCAATTATTATCGGAAATTACTTATTTTGGGCTCTATTTCTCAGAGGTAAGGTGAAAACTTACCATCAGCCTCTTGTAGTTTTAGAAATCTTCTAAGACTTTATTTTGAGCTCTGGCTTTGATTGCCATCCATTGAAATAATTTCAAGCATCTTTCATTCTGTTTTAACCAACATGAAAACAGAGACTGTAATAGAAAATGGTAAGTTATGTAATAAATGTTGGTTAAATATAGGATTAAATGAATCTTGATTTGTATTCCTATAGTTGCCATATTTTCTTAGATTGTTAAAGTGTGATTTCTTTCTATTTTTCCATAAAGAGAAAGACTGCTGAAATTGTAAAAGGTGAAATCATAGTACACATTTTTACTTAAAAAAGTACACATTTTTCTACATTACCCATTTCTTTGTTAGTCTGCTGATTTTAAGTTGTTACTTCTATTCGAATTTATTTACTATTTTCTGGCAGTCTCAAAATATTTATATGCTATTGCACATTTCTTCTCCTAGTAGTCATTTTTTTATTTCTAGATATTTTAAAACTTGTTCAGATATAGTTTTAAAATAGGTATCTACAGAAGTTACTTTATATAAACAATTAGTTTAAAAGTCACTTTACATAAATTAATTTTGTAGTCATTCAACAATAAAAAATTTTTCATGAAATACAGTGCATG